CCACCCAGCTGTAAGCTTTTTATTCCTATATCTTTTGTTTTGTCTCTTTGAGGTCAGGAACCATGGTTGTTTTATTTTCTCCCTTTTTTTGGTAGGATGTCTTTTGACATTAAGCAGTATCAGTAAGCTCACTTATGTTTGATTGGGAGCTTTTTATTTCATCTTCTATTTATGACCCATAGGTGGCACCCATTGAGCAGTAGATAGTAAGCAATAGCATGTGGGGTGTATCTGGCCCAGGCTACAAGTCTTTTTCTTAAATCCATGATTATGAGATTGAATATTCAGTTGACACAGTAACCCACATAGGCCTCTAATATTTTCTGTGGCAAATTAATTAAATCATAAACATCTTTTACATAGGCATTCACTAGAATTTTCATGTTATTTCTTGTAGGACCGATCAACTTTTAGAAGAATCATAGTGAAAAACAACGCAAAAAAGAGGAAGATGTTTGAATCATTTATTGAGTCTGTGCCCCTTCTTAAATCTCTAGAGGTAAAAAGTCTGTTTGAGTAAGAGTGTTTATAGGGATTGAGAAAAGCTATTCAAATGATTTTATTGTTAGGTTTTTAAATTATACCATTCTAACTGAGTTCTATGTTGTATAGATATTGTGATTTTCACTTAATGTCAATTCCTTATAATTTGTCAGTATGTCCATTGTTTCAGGTATCAGAACGAATGAAAATTGTGGATGTAATAGGAGAGAAGATTTATAAGGATGGAGAGCGTATAATCACTCAGGTGGGTATAAATCTTGCACAGCTCCTTTCCTGGAAATCACCATCCGAAGGTCTAGTACATCACTTGTCTTATAAGACTTCTGTGTCTTCCCATTGTTGAGAGCTCCTGTTGCAAGGTAATAGGTCGTACTTCCTTGCAGGGGCATTGGAAGATGTCCATCTCACTGACATATGAAGATCTCTTGCTTACATTCACTTTTCCTTGGCTTTTAATGTTTGTTGTTTTGAATATTATTTTCTTTTCACCCTAAATAAGCTTTATACATTGCTGTTAGAACCTGAAGAAGGTTGGATGTTTGTATGCTCGACTTTCTGTATGTTTGAGAAGTAAACAAAGGCACTATTTTGGCTAATCCAACACAAATCAGAATACTGAGACTTCAGTAAGACTGTACAAATCAGATTTGTAAGATGTCTAGTATTTCCTTGGTGCCTTTTTCTCAAGTTATTTTTGGATAATGTAAGGTCCAGTCAATACAGTGGCCTGGACCATTATAACAAGTACCATGTAATAATTTTCTTTGACC